AGACAAGTCAGGCACCTCTTCCCTTCTTCAGCACCCAACATGGCCCAGCTGTGGTCAATAGAAAGTATGACTGCAGCTGGACTGCATCATGCTCGCTTCGAGGGTCAGACAGGAGCATTATGGGAGTATCCTCATTTCACAAACTGGTACTTTTAATCGCAGCTCTTCCGTTTCAGCTAAACCTTGAGCAGGACCCTGATATTAGTACAGGATGCTAATGCTGAAGGACCGATCTCTCACATCAGAAAGGCAAGTAGGGAAATTACTAGGTTATTATTTCATAAATAAATTGATGCTGTCAGTTCAGCTGAAGACCCATTTCACTCATGAACTTCCTATCCCAAAATCTGTAAAGGGATTTTAGTTGTCGAGCTGAGGGAGAGCTGGATTTCTGTGGTGGTTGATGTGATCTCCTGGCTCGGATGCTCACTTGAACTCAGGTTTTCTGGACACTGTTGCAGGGACAATAATCAGCGACTCCCCGAAACTGCATCTTTGTTAGCTACACCCTCACCCTAATTTTATCTGCCTTGGGTTTTTTTAAGATACTTACGATCTCCAGATCAAATGAGTATAGGCTAAACATAATGGCATTTCTGTCATACCTTTATTCTCTTTTGCACCCCTTCCACCGCACAGACTGCGATGATGTGCAAAGCCCAGCTGATGCCCATGTCAGTACGGGACCACCAGGCACTGGGGAACCAGGAGTTGGAGCGAGCCTCCAGCTTTACAGCTCCTTAGTGCCACAGCCAGGCTGAAGAGCAGCGAGTGAGTATATCTGATCTATTTTTTTTCTGATCTCAAATGGGTGTTGTGAGGCTTATTGAGCTAATGTTTGTAAATTGCTCGGAAATTCTCCAATGAATTGTGCACTAGGAATGCTAAGTATTGCTCCTCGTGGATTGTTTTTAACGTGAAGCATTCGTGATGAATTGTTTCTATACAGAGAGCTCACATCCTGTCAAAAAAAAAGGGCCATTAAGCACCCTTTCACTAAACATCAACTGGAACTGGTATTTGCTCAATTATTTGGTGAAAAGAACCCGCGCTTGGTTGAATTAGGCATCTTCAAGTTTACTAGGATGACCCTGAGCACTGGGCTAAATATTGAAGCCACAAGGCTGGGGTGAACACAAGCAGCACTCGTATTTCAGCTCTGCTACATTCCTTGATACTGAGATATTTTATTTTTTAATCTGTGTTTTCAGAGAGTTCATGAAGCACAGGTGGCATCAAGACAAGATTTTTCAGAGGAAGACAACATAAGTTAAAAACCATGTGTCCCAGGCAGGGTATTTCTCAAAGCTTTCCAGGAGATGACAACTGACTTGATCGTTCCTCTCAGCCGACTGACAAGGACGGTGGGCACTACAAACGCGTCCTTTCTCTGCAAGCCCCGTGCTCCCGAGACAAGATCTCTGCAAGGAGCAAGGAGCTGGATCAGAGCTCCGTTTGGTCATGTCTCAAACTTTGCTGCTACCAACAGAATGAGATTGCAAGCCTTTCTAGATTTGGCTCTCCCTGCTATATTTTGTATTATACACACAAACTGTAATCTTTTTTAATAAATAGTCTTGCAGAACAGCCTTCCTAAACATACTGAGCTGCTCCTAAAATACCAATATGGAGAAAAATGCAGTCTTTGTGATGTTCCTCTGCTCTGACTTTTTCACGCTGCTAGAAAGGGGACTGCTACCATCTTAATTAAAATGTATTACCTACCACAAGACTTCACTATTTTAAGATAAAATTTACATCTTTTATTAACTCACCTCACCTATACACTTAGCTCGCGATGCCTCTCAACGCCCATCTGCCATCCGCGTACAGTAAGTCACTTGATATTCCACCCACCAATTTTTCCTAACAACCACTGTGCAATTAAACTCAACACGTTCTGTTGCGAGGTAAATTAGGCACACCTGCGGCCAGACTTCATTTGAACTGCATCAGAAAAGGACCTAACAAGGTGAGAGCATACCACAAAGTTATAGGCCTGTCAAGCAATTAGGTTTTCACTTCTGGGACATCCGCACAGTGCAATTATGCTACACATTACAACCTGGCTAATCTTCTGAACAAATGTCATGTCTCGGAGAAGCTAGTAAAAGCAGTTCATCTGCAAATGTGTCTGCTCTTAAGCCTCCACCTTGTGCACATAACAACCTACAGGAGACTTTTTTGTGATATGAAAGATGTTTTTTCCATAGAAGATTTTTTAAGCCCTGCAAGCGTCTTTTCATCCTTTTCACCTCTTCTTAACCTTTTTGAGAGGAGGTGTTGTAGCAAATAGACCAGAAAGACTTTTGTACTTGAGTTTCAACACTAAGCAAGGAAATACTTGGTATTATAAGCACAAGCGGTGGCTTTAGTTTGGTTCAATTCAAATATTGTTTGGCTAAAGGAATCTTTGTGGCGGAAAACCACCTATTACATCCTAGAAACATCATTAGTAAAGCGTATTTCCACCAGACCCCAAACAGAAGCATCATTCATGCAGATAAACCTCAGCAGAAAGTAAATGTTTAATTCTTTTTATTTCAGATATTGAGTGTGAGTGTCCTGGCGACAACATCCTAACCCAAAATCTGTACTGATGGTAGGTGAGGTCTCTGGTAAGGAAGTCAGCCGAAACCTGCAGTGACAAGCAGCCTCCACCCCTTTATCAAAGCAGATCTTCCCAACATCCAGCTCAAGCCGGACTGAGGACAGAAGACTGCATCAGCCCCGCAGGCACCATTTTGCTTTACTCCAATAATTCTGTTTCATTTTCATCTGTATTTCAGGTACACAGTTAGTGTGTTCAATTAAGCCTACAGATGAGATCTTGCTATACTACAAAATACAGAATTGTTAAGATATGACAAGCCCACTCTGCTTTCATGAGTAAAAAACTCAGATTTGTATCATTATCTGCAATTCTGAAGTTCTTTGGAAGAGAAGCTGTCCGCAGGGGCACAACAGTGTTACGGGGTGGAGGCAGGAGAGAGCAGAAGACGAGGAGACATTTGAAGTCAAATGGTAATTCTCATCCTTTACTCGATTACCCTTTAATTGGCTTTTTCCTCAGAAATATCTGACAACCGCTTTGCATATCTCTTTTCTAGAGTCTAGTAAACAAAGGATTTAATACTCTTGTTATGAAAGGAAAAATCTTTCCTCTGTCAGAAAATCTTTGGCTTTAGCACCAATAAACTCTTTATTACTGCTAAACTTGGATTTGCTGCTCAATCGCAAAGAGGCGATAAAAACTCTAACCTGTCATTAGTGCATTATGCTTAATTGTGTACAGTATGTTTCCAGTTGCATCTGTTGGCCCATTATCAAAATGACCATTATGTACACTAATTCCCTGACCCTGTCTTTATTTCCCTAAAGAGTCATAATCTTTCACAGTAGGTATCAGAGTAAATCAAGCTTGAAATATGGGCTTTATTTACTTGTTTCTCCCAGGCAGAGTGGAAGACTGTAGCTAAAGACAAACTGCTGTAGATAAGTAGCAACTACGTTGTAATATCCTACTTGGAGAAAGGGTGGAAGCTCCTGGGTGACCACTGGAAGAGTAACAGACATCACCCCATTTCCTTTTCAGTTTCGTTCTGTATAGTTATCAGAGGTAACATAAGGATAATAAAACATTTATCTCTAGTTTGCGGTTCAACTTCAAGGAAATAAAACTGATGTTTGGAGACAACGAAGCCATTAAG